GGACACAAATCTACCGTTGTGAGTGTCGGAAGTAGGTAGGAGGAACTGGTATTCCTTAGACAAAATACAATAAAAAATAATGAAAGTCAATTCGGCACAGTATCTTCCCCAAAAAACTCACTTCTGATTTAAAAACGCTGCCTACCGACTCGATCAATTAAATAATTGGATCAACTAAAAAACACCGCAAAAAATTCCCAAGTCAGACTAACTGTATTTGGGGAGGAACTGAGTTCGTTAAGGGCAAGCTGCAAACGCCGGACATGTAAATATTGTAGGGAATATGTAAATATGCAGGTTAGGAGATGAGCGAGCATACTATAGAAAGCCGAATCAGGGTGGTAGATACATACATACATAGATATCTTTTAACGACACTGCTTTTTTATTTAATGAAGAGAATAGGCGAACGCAACGCAGTCGCTACAAGTTACGTGTTGGCAAGCGAAATAACTTCAGGCCTCAAATTCTCTATTACCGATGTCAAGCAGTGTAAACGACTGGTGACCTGCTGAAGGAGAGTTGAAATCGGTTCCACACTTTTTTGCATCGATATCCAGATCAAGAATAAATACAGGCCTACCAACAACAAGACTACATTACAAACCATAGCAAAAAGTTTTGCACAGTAACATCTCATTACACATCAACAACACGCATATTCCATTTGCTAAAACATCCGATCACTTTAATTTTAAAACTTTTAGCGCAATTTTCCGATTTAAATGACATTTTGATCACACACACCACCTCTGTCTCCTCCATTTAAATGTTGTAAAATTCACAAACATTCGCAGTTAAATATTAACAAGTATGAATAAATATGTGGCATACATTGCGGCGTTAGGGCGTAAATGATGTCAACACTTAACAAAACCAAAAGTGAACATAAAATTTGCATACAATTTGGAATGTGTAAACAGTGAAAAGCAGACAAGTAGCGTAAAAGCAACTGGTGTAATGCATAACTTACACACACACACACACACACACCCACACACACAAATGCGATATGCACATAAATATGGATGTTTAGCTGAGTACTCTTTAGCACAGCCTTGTATGTGCCATATGTATAAAGTTTACGTCGTCGCATTTGTTGTAATGCCATCTACTCGACCAAATGTCAAACGGTTTGGCGTTGCAAATTTCGTTTGTTTAGTTTAGCGTTGAAAACGGAACTTACTACATCCATATGAATATGCCTTTTATGTGCATTTTATTTGTTTGTTGATGCGAGAATATGTAATTGTGTTAAGTAGTTGGAGTTTATACATAATTGCTTTGGAAAGGATACAGAAATCGTTTTGCATGCTTTTGTGCCAGCATAGAAATTGAGTTGAAAAAGTGAATTTCCTGTACACGCAAATATATGTATGTATGCCAAACTACTGTAATGAAATTGAACTGAAAAAATAATTTGAAAAGCCCACTATTTAATACATATTACACCGTGCGACAGTAAATTTTACACACACAAAAAATTAATATATTCGCAAAACTGTGATTAAATTATAGCAAAACTGCGTACTTAGTTTTTCTCTCTGACGTCAGCACTTTGAAATTTAAAAAATATGATTATTTCAAAAATTATTTAAAAAATTCAGTGCAATGTAGGTTAAAAATAAGGATATCATATAAAAGAAAAAATTCTGTAGAATTATAAGAGAATACATTTTTTGGTGTATAAGGACGAAAGGGTATGGAAAATGTCGTTTAAAAATTTTGTCCTTAAATATCCTGGAAAATTTGCAATATTAATTTTTGAAAAAATTATTGTTTGAGGAGTAATATACACGCCACCTCATCATCGAATTTCGTCCTGCAAACTTTATTAACATAAAAAGGTAAAATTTTCAATACCTATTCGTCCTTGTAAACAAAAAAACTTTCTTGTTTTTAAATTCTAAATAAGTTTCTCTCTCATTTGGTACCCATATTGTTTTACTGCATTGCAATGAATTTAAGAAAACAAAAATTTTGAATTAATCGTATCATTAAACTTTCCTTTGTCCTTCGAAAAAAAGAGGTTTAAGAGGTTTTTAAAGGTTAGAATCAATTATTTAATTAGCTAACTAAAATATTACAACAATGTGTGCTTCAAATGAAAGAGGTTCAAAAACGATTTATTTCGAAAATATTTTTTAAATGGTTTGACGGTTGTTCAAAATTTAAATCAACTTATTTAACAAGTTAAACGAAATATTTTCATATGGGCACCAAAGGACAGAGGGTTAAGAAAGCTTCATTTCACAATTATTTTTAAAGGCGGCTACCACCTGTTTAGAAAGTCAGAATCAATTTAATTAACCAGTTAAATTAAATATTTTAATGGGGGTATAAAACGAGAGATTTCCAAGAAATTTTGCACACAGATAGCTTATAACCTAGATTGAAAAATAAGCTACTTTTTTTTAAAGAGTTGCCACCTATTAAAAAGTAAAATCCAATTAAGTTAATAAGTTCAATCAAGTATTAGAATACAGGTGTCAAACGAAAAAAGGTTTAATTTCGAAGATATGTTTCAAACTGGTTTGTCACTTGTTTGAAAATGCAATTTTGTACAAAGATAATTTATGACCTGGATTATAAAATACTTAGGAATAACCGTTACTAAATATAATAGTGTTGAGATCTGTTTAAACATTTAAATTAAAGAAATTAGGCTATTGGAATATATATCACCATATGAGGGTCGGACGAAAGATCTTTAATAAGGTAGTAGTAGAAAATAAGTTTGCAGAGGGTTGCCACCTCCTTTAAAATTCGAATTTCGTTAACCTTTACACAAGTTATATGAAATATTAAAATATCGGTGTCAAGCGAAATAGTGTTATGAAATCTTTTGTTTAAATATTTAGAATTTTTTGAGAATTGCTACCTGTCGGAAAAGTTTAGTTCAAATTATTTAATAAGTGAAATGAATTATTGCAAGATGGCATCAATCGAAATGGGTTTGGGAAGGATTTATTTCTTGACTGCATTTAGAAGAGATGCCACTAGTTTAAAAAATCACCACCATGGCTGCTACCATCGCTCAGGAGTCATTCACAATATGGTCGTAGCGGATTAGAGAGTATAATTAACTCTTCTGAATAGAATTAGCAGTCAATTCGAAGTTGATTTAGTTCGGGCCCTTGGAAATGAAGCACATATTATTAATGGTCACCCAAAAGTAGAGTTAGAAAATTAATTCGAATACTTCCAAAATTCATGAATATTTTTAAAACCTTTACAACATTTTTATAGCCCACATAATTTTAGTCGCGTCCATTTTTAATAATTTCTTTTCGTGCTGGATTCTACACTTTTTCCATATAAACATGAATTTCATATGAAATAAAATGCGGGAGACCGTCTCACAGTGCTATGTCCCAAAGGCAAAATTAAAATAAAATTAAGTGCCTAGAATATTTAAGTAATATATATTTTTGTAAATCTAACATAGTGCCTTTAATAGATTTGGAAGTTCAATTTATCATCTCTGAAGTACTAAGGTACGACTGTTGAACGGAAGAGCGACTTTTACTTTAGTTCTTCGTGTATTGCTTTGAAACTTAATAGTTTTGTTTACAAAACACAAAAAACAGATATACAGTATTGGACATATCTATAGCACCCCCCCCCCCTTTCAAAGCGATATTGTTTGCCACTTATGTTTAGTTATTTGTTTTTAAGAATTTTCAATTAAAATACAGTTCATTCTCTAACAAAACCCATATAAACCCATGTTTTAAACTTTTTAAAAGACCGCAAAAAAGCGCAACAAACTTTCCCTTAAATTTCAAAATTTTTTCTCAGAAGCTCTAGAATTTTTTTGAGTACACAGTTTTATAGCGCATTCAATTTTAGTCCAATAATGTGCAAGTTTCAAGTCGCTAAAGATTACCGTTGATTTTTTAGAATTTTATTTATCTCATTTGCTTCCATATAACGACTAAACACAATTTATTTTTATATGGCAGAAACCCGCAACATCCTCGGCGAAAAAAAATCTAAAAAATCAACGGTAATTTTTAGCCACTTGAAACTTGCACATTATTAGACTAAAATCGAATGGGCTATAAAACTGTGTATTCAAAAAAATTCTACCGCTTCTGAGAAAAAAGTTTGAAATTTGGGTGAAAATTTGTTGCACTTTTTTGCGGACTTTTAAAAAGTTTTAAACTTAAGTTTATGTGAGTTTTGTCAGAGAATGAACTGTATTTTAATTGAAAATTCTTAAAAATAAATAAATAAACATGAGTGGCAAACAATATGACTTTGAAATGGGGGTGCTATTGTATTGGCCAATACTGTAATTTTTGGTAAATGTTTTTTATGGAAAAGTTGTTTGGGTTATCGAAAACTTCCGAGACATTTTTATTTGAATTACCAAAATTACGAAAGTTTGGTAGAGTTAAATAAAAACAATTTTAAGAGTAGTTGATGTTTTATTTACTATTTTGAAGTACTTTCATAGAATCTGTGGAGAAGTTTCAGATTTTCCTGCCGGAACTGTAAGAATTATATGCATGTTTAAGCCATATTTCTTAAGTTTCAAAAAAGTTGCAAAGAGCTAAGTTTATGGTATTGCCAAAATTTAAAAAACTAAGATATTACACTTTTTTTTAGTACCATAAAAAATGAACCTAGTTTTGATATAGTGTATAATTTTTGTTAAATAGCGACAGTCTTTTTTTGGCGGAAACCCTAATTTTTAATAAATTTTGACAAAATTAAGAGCATATATAAATAAAAAGTAGGTAAATTTTTATTTTTCGTTTAGATACTTCGTTAAGAGACCTAACAATTAGTAGGAAAAGAACTGAACATTCTTTTAAAACATCTAAACTTTTTAATTTTACAAAGACAACAAATATTAACTAATATATATATATAAATCTCGTGTCACAAAGAAAAAAATCAAAACGAAATTATGGGGATTTGTAGAAGTCTTATTGATAATTTTGGCATGTTGCTTGCTCGCCCAAGGCCTCGGCAGGCAGTGTGAACAATAGCAATAGTTTTCCTGCTTGTTGCTCCTGAGTCTTCTAGTGCGGTCTCTCCCTCGCACATGTTATTTCGTACTAATGGTGGGAGTGCTGTGTCTACAGCTGTTTCGACGCGATCCTCACTTACTGCTAACAAAGTGTTTGTCACCAACTCGAAGTCAACAATCGGCGCAGCAGCTGAAAGTGACGCTGCTGCGCAGTCATCTGCCGTCGTTATTGACGTCGACGTTTCGCCGCCTGTGAATTGTGATCAAACTGACGTTGTTAATGCTGAACTTGAATCTGCTGATGCTGTTAATGCTACTGGCGCGGATGTGCCCGCCTCTCCTTCTCCTACCCCTTGGCGGACAGTGGAGAGCAAAAGAAGGAAGCAAAGTCGTAAGCCGGTGCGTGTGGTTGGATCCAGTGACTGCAGTGATCTAGGTGTTGCAACTCCATTTAAGTGGTTGCATTTGTCATCTTTCTTGCCAAGCCAGTTTCTTGTGATAACATGTGTGGGGAACCACACTGGCATTGATAAGCGACGCATTTCTTGCTACAAGCTCGTTAAAAAAGAGTCGAATCTGGAATCACTAACACACGTGAATTTTTAGCTTGGGGTCTGCGCCCACAACTTCGATAATCTGATGAGGCCTGAGTTGTGGCCAGCTAATGTTTCTGTTCGGCCTTTCCGTTTTTTTTCAAAAATTGCCGCAACAAATGCAACTGAAGTAGCTCATGCGCCCTCGTGTAGTTGTTTATCATCAGAACCAGCTGACAATACAAAGCCAGTCGATAGCACTGTTAGTGTGGTTGCACATAGTAAAATCAAAATTTATTTTCAAAACGTTTCTGGAATGAGAACTAAAGCTGATGTAGTCCGTAGAGTGAGCTCACATTTGGATTTTGACATATTCGTCATCGTCGAAAGCTGGTTAACTCCTAATTTCTTCTTTTCTATGACTCAGAATTCTTCGATCCCGATCTATATAATGTTTATCGTAAGGATCGCGACGAAATCAGGTCGGGCCTGTCCAGAGGCGGGGGAGTGCTTATAGCAGTTCAGCGTAAATTGTGCTCGTCGATGGTTCATCCTCAAAATAATGATTCTATCCTCGAGCAGTTGTGCTTAAATGTAGATGAACCAAATCGGACTATAAATACGGAGTTTTTAAATATCTCGACTCCTACGCCACCAGCGGATTGAAGTTTCAAGTTTCAAGTCTTTTGATCATCGGAAATTAGGTTAAAAAATTTTTGCAAGAATTGACCCAGACAAACATTGCAAGTTAAATAAAAGTTTGCAAAAAAGCAAAGAAAAAATGTTCCCAATTCCCTCAAACAATCCTGAATTCATTTGACAGTCGAGAATCAGATTTTGAATGCCAAAAGCTATAAACAAAATTACTTGACTCACCAAAGTTGAAGTAATGAAAAGAATATAAAAACTCATGATTTCCTACTGTATTAAGAATTTACAAAGCCATGAATAAATCCAATACACTGTTTACTTAAATCGCTTTAAAGCATCTTATGACCTTCAACTGCGAATGCCACACCTTTAATCCAGCTAAGGCACTTCAAACTCTTAACTTTAACTTTTCAATTTTGTTAAATTTAAAGTATTTGTAAACTTCTTTGTCGATTACTCAAATACATATTGAGGCGTATTCTTGTTTTCGTTCATGAAATTTTCCTATCACTTTGTATAAAAAAAAAAAATTCAAATTTTCGATTCGCACGAAAACAAGAATACACCCCATTGATTTCTCTTCCATTCTCCTTTTCCACTTGCAGCTATCGAAAAAGTTTCAACAACTTTAAAACAACAACAGCTACAACAGCAGCACCAAAAACCGACATCTATACAAAAGCGAAAAACAAAAAAAGCATCAACATGTGTCTTTCACAACCGTTAATGAATGCGCTCGCATTTATTTGTTTGAGCGCACTGCTCTGGCAGCATTGCTGTGCTGATATACCGGACAACAGTGCGTATACGCAATATACTAATATACATACATACATATATGGCATACTCATACACACATTTATCACGCATAATAACTTACTTTGCATTATTCTCTTTTTTCACCCCGGGCACTCGCACTCGCACTCGCCGTCGCCCTCGTCCTCTCCTCAGATGTCATCAATAATTTGTACGACAATTTACTGCAACGTGAATATGCCGGTCCTGTAGTTTTTCCTAACCATCAGGTCGAACGGAAAGCTCAACGTTCTCCTTCCCTGCGGCTGCGTTTTGGTCGCCGCAGCGATCCGGATATGTATTTGCCCGCCGAGAAACGTTGGTTTGGCGACGTCAATCAGAAGCCAATCCGTTCGCCTTCATTGCGTTTGCGTTTCGGGCGTCGCAGCGACCCGAGCATGCCATTGCACAGCGAATTAGATGCTCTAATGAACGATTTGGCAAGTGTGAGCAACAATGGTGGCATTGCCGATGCAGAGGATGCAACTGCATTTTTTGGCGATGAATATCCAGAGGACATTATGGAGAGCGCTTTTGAGCGTGTTGTGCGTAAGCCACAACGTTTACGATTCGGACGCAGCTTGCCGAGAATACAGAACAATGTTGATGACGAATTAGAGGTAAGTGGAATTTAATGAAACGGAAATGCGAACATATATTTACATACTAATTTATTTGCCAGTTTGAGTAGGCTAGTTTTGGGTAGGTAGAGTGGGTGGCTAGGCTAATGCATAAATTAATAAATTGGTTTTAAAAAGTGATGTTTATTTCAATGATTCAACCATTTGCTAATTATCAAAATTTCATTCGGTCCTTACTTATAACCTACGAGTACATTTGATAGAAGAGAAATAAATAAGAATTTAAAAAAAAAGCTAATCTTTGGCCTGAGAGTTAATTTTGTATAGTTACGCCAAATTTCCTCAATAGATTTGGTGTTTTTTTATAACCCGGATATGGCCTGCGCCACTCGTGGTGTCGTTGGAAAGTCCATGTGGAGTAGGACTTTACTTCACTTGGCATTTCCAATTGGCTTCAGTTGGCACAGCAGAGAAACGACTGGTGTACTTTGTTGAACTCGCCCATAATTGTTAATGCGGTTAGAGCACTAAATAAGAAGAAGAAGAAGTACGGTTGGTTAAAATGTTCATGCTCTTCCAGAAGATCTAACAGCAGAAAGATATTCCCTTCTCCCGAAGATAGGTTAGGTTAGGTTAGGTGGCAGCTCCGTGCAACCGCGGCTCACTTGAACAATTTGGAGATTGTCCTTTACAATACCACATTCTGAACGGCTCTCAATACTTAATCGATAAAACGTCCCGAACCGGTTATATTTTAACAAATTCGGAAAATCTCAATGCCCCAGAGCTCCTCGGATCTATTAAGGATGTGAGAGCCAAAGTACCACAACCTTAGCCTCGCAAAGGTGGGGAACCTAGGAAGGTAGTGTTGTTTCCACCTCGTCATCTTCCCGGCAACTGCGATATACAGGGTCCGACAATATGCTCAGCCTTACTGCGTGAATACCGATTGGACAGTGACCTATTTAAGCCCCCAGTAAAAGTGAGAGATATGCCTTTATGAATTTGACCAGTGCCCTCGTCCACCCCTGTCCACCCTCGGCCAGAAAGACCTTACGATCGCACATGTCCTGGTTTTCGCCCAGTTCGCGCCGAGCTGACATGAGGCCCATCTATCAAAGAGTTCACCCAGCCGCTCTTTATCAGGCGATAACGTTTTACGAGTGGCTTTCCTGATCAATTCATCAGCCACGCAGTTCCCCTCAAAGTCGTTGTGGCCCGGAACCTAAATAAGCCTAATACAGAAGTATTCTGACGAGGCCGAGGGAGAGAGCAGACAGCCCTTAACCAAACTAGAGCGCCAAGTTAGGCTATCAGCAACTCCGGAGCATTGAATCCACCGCCTCCTTGATAGAAGCCACTTCCGCCTGAAATACACTGCAGAGTCTGGGAGCCTGAACTTGGTACTCATAGAGATCCTACCACCAATCCTGCCGTCCAGTTTCGATCCACCTGTGAAGAAGTTCACTGCTCCCCCTCTCCAAAAGCTCCGCGCCCAACCCAATCCCCCTTGAGGGAAAGTGGGCAGTGGCAGTGTGAAGAAGCTTCTTGGAGCTATTTCGGTGGCGCAGTAATCCGTACGAACAGGGATAAAATCAAAGCCCCCTAGAATTGCAGAGTGACCAGTCTCAAAGTCGATCATCCAATGCCCCACTAATGCTAATTAAAGCAGCCCTTTGTACTCGCTCTAGCTGCTTAGGTAGATTAGCCTTTTCCAGTGAGTTCCACCAGACTAGGGCACCTTAAAACATACAGCAAATTGAGGTCACTGATGCCTTCCTTACCCTTTCCTCTATGTTTGGCCTCCAAGGATCAGGTCCAAACATTTGACCTTGTCAGACAGCTGTAAGCGCTGACCTCCAACTGAGGGAAGAACATCGTCGGGGATTTTATACTTGCTAGTGAATAAGACTAGTTCCGTCTTACTGGAATTGATGGTGAGGCCACTTTTGACCGCCCAGTTCGTAACTAGAATAAGATACCGTTGGGTCAATTCATAAAGCGTCTTCAGGTATTTACCTTTAATACACTGAGCCAAAAACACAACGGTTTTTTCAACCAACTTATGGTTTGATTTTTTCATGGTTAATAAGCCGATTGTAAGAAATGTGATTCAAGTTGAACATTTAAGAACTAATTCATATGTATGGCAGTGGCTGTAAGTGCAGAGGTGATTTCTGTTATTTGTTGGGTTCCAGCAGTACGAATGTCGTCAGTGCGACACATAACTTTTATTTTTTTGTTTTTGGTTTTTCTTAATTACGAAAAAGCCTCTGTGAAGTGCAGAATCAAATCAACCGACGAAGAAAATTGATTCAAGTAGAACATTTGAAGGCAGATTTATAAAGCGGCTGTAGCTGAGTTTGCACAGATGCTTGCTGTTATTTGCCAACATTCAGAAGATGCGGGACCAAATCTCGTCAGAGGCAACTTGTTAAAATGATAATAAAAATGTTTGTCTTGCATCTCTGAATTATGAAAAAGCACCTGTGAAGTGCAGAAAATAAACGTATTCAAACGAAAAATTCGGCAACCAAGAGTTTGATTAAAGTAAACAAAAGTGTGGTTTGTTGAAAACATCAACCAAGGCATTCTTAATATTAACCAAAAATCACACTGATTCATTTTCAAGCTTGAATTTGGTAATATTAACAAATTTTTGGTTGATTTTTTCTCAGTGTATAAGTGCAACATATCAATTATCCAACAGCCGTGTTCTTGGTGGCGATCTCGAGGAATCCCGAGCTTATTTGTAAGAGTTAATTTCAGTAGAGGAGCATACAATGCAGCTGGCGGACATTTTTCGAAGGCTTGGCTGCTGTTACGGAGGAATATGCATGATTTCCAAATTTTCCGAAGCTACTTGCCATGAAGATATTGCCATGAGCTATCTTGAGGACCGGCTTAATTGATGTTTGTGGCCTTTGTTCAAGTTGCTATAGCATCTATGGCACTCCCCTCTGCATTCTGAGGTGATCCATTATTAGGAGAGTACCTAGCGTTGGCACCGATTGCGTAGCTAAATACCAGAAGATGGCTGCTGGGCTTCACCTTTCCGCACCAAAATACAATCCCTAAATCTGAGTTTTGCTGCGTTAAAGACTTCTAGGCTAGTCTAGTATGCAGAAGTGCCCTGATATCTGGTACCCACTGGAAGATAATACATAGTGTATACAGCATTCTAACAAAAGGTAGAAAACGCTGTCCAGCCTGTAGGTATACATTTAGAGAGTTTTGGTGGGAAAATGAGTGTTAACTGATACTCCTAGGCTAAGTCACCGTACAAGCACATCAAAGAGGAGAATTCATCTTATGCCTGCAGTGTACTTAACCTAAATTCGACTGATGTCTGCCTTGTAAGCGCAGATGGCTATAGAAGTATTATCTCAGCAATGAAAAATATTTTCAATCCAGTTCCTAATCAATCATGCTTCGCATGGGGCAATATGATATTTTAACCAGCGACAGAAATAGTCATATGTATAAGGAAATAGATCTAAGCCCGCCTGGAACGATCACTGATCCGGCATGTATTCCTAGTCTTAGCGTGGTTTGGATCTTCGTCCACGTTCGTTCCCCCGTTAATCTTTTGAGTGTCTGGCGCTCCGTCAGAGCAACGAATTGGGTTAATTTCTAGTATAAAAGCAAGTATTTAAGTAGACTCAAAATCGATATTTTGAATAACGAAAATCTGCCAGATCTTTTTTTATTTTTATTTCTACTTCATTCCAAGAAATGTTTTTACATCAATCACATAATAAATCTTCTAATCATCCTTTCAGCAAACCCGCGAACAACGCCAACAAACAGAGGACTTTTTCAACTCGCTGCTGACTTCGGAAAAATTACACAACATGTTGCTCTCACTACGTCAATTCGATGGCGAACCTTTGGCTGCTGATGATAATGAATTCCAACGTGAAGTACGCAAACCAGCGCCACTCCGTCTGCGATTTGGCCGTAGCACTGGCGGAAATGCAGAAGCGCAAAAGGTAGGTTGAAGAGTTCTATAAGAATGAAGTAAACTAATTTTGTAATCGATGAATACTCGTTTAAGATTTCTACAATTACAAAACAAAAATTTCTGCATAAAGTTTTTTTTTCTATTTTTATTCACTTTTTGATTTATTTTCTTTGCAGATAGTCACTGCACAAAATGCATTAGATGCGAACAAAAGTGTAGCAGTTGTCGCACCGCCACAACAACACCAACAAGCACAAAATAAAAATTAAATACAGCAAAGTATGTAACCTACAATCCACACATATGTACTTAGAACAATTGGCAACCAAACAAGGAAGGCTAACTGCAGATAGGCAAGGGCGTGCAAAAAGTGTTAAGAAAGAAATTTTATGGTGAGAACGTGCGAAGATAAATTTAATTTTAAATACATACCCCCCGGAGAAAAATGCAAAAACTTGTCATAATCTAACCCTATAAATATGCCCATAAAATTTAACGGTAAAAAATATTTAAACTTTAAGCTTTAAAATTGACTTATACTTATATGTATGTACTTATACATTTTCATTTGTTTCAAAGCTGTTGTGCAATGCAGTCTACTCCAGGAAAAAAATTTAAAAATTATTTTTTTTTTATCTCACATATGTATGTAGATATGTTTGTACATACATATATTTGGGCAATGCCCTTAAACAACAAAAATTTTAAAACTCAAAACTCAAAAATACTTCATGCATAAATTTTGACAGTTTAGTAAAAGTTTCGAGAATTTCGAGGTTTTCAAGGCGTAGTCCAGTTACAGGAATGCGCCTATTGTATTTTCTAACATTGAAGATAATTTCGCAAAAGTTTTAAATTTCAGTTTATGACTTTAAAATTTTTTTTTTACATATTTCTATTTTTTTAGTGCTAGTTTGAGTAATCTTAATCTTTCTAAATATTTTGTTTTATTACAATTATTACATTCAAGATTAAGTTAGGAGAATAATTTAGTTTAATCTTATTTTTTAAATAAACAGGTATTTTTTTCAAAAGTCAGCTGTTTATTATTTACCTTTTTTTGTTTCACTTACATAATTTAAAAAAATTACAGTTGAAATTCTAAAATTTGGCCCTTTAAAAACAACAAAAAAAATAGTTATTTTTGCAAAAAATTATTTATTATTACATTTTGAAAAGAAAAATTATTTTAATAATGTTTTTAGAATACTTAGATTTTTTTTGGCTAAATCATTTTGTTAATTTATTTTTTTATGCAAATTTTCGGAAAAATATTTAGTTCCTTTAATTACGTTTTCGCATTTATATAAAAGAGGAATTCTTCACTGCAAACTTAGAAATCGGTAATGATTGTCAACATTTTTTTTTTGTTTTTTCTTAAATCTTTTCTTTAGTTCACATAAAAAAAATTGTCAATTAAACAAAAATTAGTGTAAGGGCATCTACCTAAGAAAATGAAAATTGTGAAGAAAATTTTCTTAATTTTCTTCGTATATTATTTTATTTTTGTTATGGAAAATTTTTTGAACTAAAATCCCGTTTCCTCGTATTTTTAGGTCATTACAAGCAAATTGTTTCAATATTTGATTTAGTCAGAAACTTTAGTGTCCCAAAAAACTTTGAGAAATTTTTATAACTTTTTTATCTCTCTTTATTTCTTGAAAAATTTTTATATACATTTTTCTTTCAAATTTGCACACTAAAAGTTTTTTCAGTATTTGCTTATTTTAATCAGAAACTGTTGCGCAATGCGGCCTTCCCAAAAAAAGAAATTTGAATATATATTTTGTAGTCCATATTGTTTATATTTTTTTAAATCAACTCCTCAAGTTAAAAAAAAAACAGTTTAAAGACATTTTTCTTATATTTTTCCTTATAAAAATATTTTGGTTTTAATTATTTTTAATTAACATATAATTTTTTCACTATTTAATTTCATCAAAATCTTTTGTGCAACGCAAATGATTTTAAGATATATTTATAATATTTATTTTGTTTTGCATATAATTTCAAAACTTAGTATATAATTTATTGAAGTTATTCTTTTAATTTCTCACAAAAATTCGGAATTATCTATTATTTCACTCCAATTGAAAAATTCTTAATAACAATAAAATATAATACAATTTTTAACAATTCTTAATGTGTATTAACTTTTTTATTTGTTTTTTCCTATTTTAAAATTCTTTTTACAAAAGCTGGTGCGGCCTCCCCAAGAAAGCAAATCTTTGAAAATGTTAAAATTCTTTTTAATATTTCAGTCCATTTTTTTAATATTTTTTTATTTGTTTTAAATACGTGCTGATACTTTTCAAAACATTAAAGCAATGAGAAAATTGTCTCCTTTAATTATTTTTTGTGACCTTTGTATTCCCGTGTAGTCTACATAGCGAAAATTTTTGTTTCAATTTTTTTTTTACAAATACAATTTTTTTAATAATTGAGTGCATTTAAAAAAATATATATATTTTTAAAACCTTGTTTTACTTATTCAAAAGAAAATTTTTGTTTATATTTTCCATTTCACTTGAGATTAAATATATTTTTTTTACCTTTGTATCCTGTGGCCTACACTTGAGAATAATCTTTTTAAATAGTTCTTAGTATATTTGAAAAAATACTATTTTTTTGGTACTTTTTCCAATAGTTTGAGGTAGAGTTTTCAAATAGGAATTTAACTTAAAAAAATTTTACTTTCTTAAATAACATTTTTTGCTAAATTTCCTTTATAAAAATGCTGGTGTTCTAAGAAAACAATTTTCAAAAATATGCAAACTTTTGTGATAATTTAGTGCACCTCTTAAAAAAAAAACAAGTATTTTTAAATTTTTTTAACTTTTTTCATTAATTGAAGTAAGGTTTTTTTTTATTTTTATCTTTAAAAAAATTGATTATGTACACTTAAGAAAAGGATTTTTCCCTTTTTTTGTTTGTTTTTTTATTTTCACTAGTATGAAGAACAGTTTTTTATTATTCAAGTCATTTAAAAAAAAAAATACATTTTTAAATAACTCTTTTGGCATTTTTTTCATACAAATGCTGTGTGGTAAGAAAATAAATTTTTAAAATTTTGTATCCGCGCATTTATTTATTTTAGTAATTTAGTAATACTCTTTCAATTTTTTTAAGTTTTTCTGTGACATCTTAATTTTATGTAAGTACTTTAAAAAACCATTAGCGATTTTTAGTAAAATTATTTAGTGTGAAAGTAAGAACCAAATATGCAGCAACCAAAATAAATATACATATGTATGTATTTAATCGAAATTTAAAAATATATTAAAAACTATTATTAGTAAAAAAAAAGTTATAAGCTATTGAATTTGTAAAAGAAAATTAGAAAAAATTGGCCCCCAAAGGAACATTATAACTGAAACTTTACGTATGTAAAAATAAGTAATTGTTTATGTAAAACCTTTTTGCATTCTAAATGCAAAAGTCAATATAAAAATTAATTGTTTAAAAAATATATTTCATTCAAAACAATTAGTGCGTTCAATTAAACATAAAATAAACTAAGAAATGGTGTGTAAAGATGTTAAATAAAAATTATGAAAATTACTACTAAAAATTAAAACTATGAGATTTTCAATTCAACAAAACTGTATGGACTTGGTAAACGCTGAAAGTAAATGAGACCTTTTTTTTCATTTACACCATCAATGAAAATGTAGTTTATGTAAGAAGACATCTAAATAATAGAAATCGTTCGAAAAAAAATTTCGCCGATAAAGTTTTTATTATTTTGCATTAAACTGTTGATCTTATTTTCCAAGTGCAGTAACAAAACCAAACTTATATTAACAAATATACCTATATATACAAATATATACACTTTCAAAATACATATAAATAAGAATTATAAATAAATCTCTGACGAAAACAATTACACGTAAATACCTAAATACTTATATGAATGTGCAATTATTATTAAACCAAATCTTACTAGAGATATTTAAAATTAAGTAAAACAAGCAAATTTAACTATACTTACACACACATACACATTACTTAACGCAAATTGTTAGTATGAAACATTGAAATATAAAAAAGTAAAACTTACAAAATTATAAAACCAAGCTAGTCATTGCGTGAAACAAAATATACAATACATAAATATATACAAAAATTATAAAAAAGACGACAGAGAGAAGAAGTACAAGAAAGAGAAAGTATTTATAAATGTAAATATATATACAGTATATATGAAGAAATGTATACAAAACCTATGAAATTGATTTTATTTGCAAATGCATATAACTAAAATTTGAAAATCCAAAAATCGCAGTACAGTTTTCTTAGCCGAATTTCGCATTCGAAGTTGAAATAAGAAAAAGTGGCAAATAAAATAACATAAAATACAGTAACAAAGATACATCAAAAACTTCTACCCTCATAAGGTGACATAAGGAGAGCAGACGAAGGAGAGGGCGCGATTTTTTTCCGGCAGAGAAGCAACACAGCGCAGCTACTTACACAAGAATTTAAGAAAAATTAAAAAAAAAAAATATGTCAACCAAAATTTTAACCAGTTAAAAACAGTGAAGATATATAAAATAAAAAACTTACAAAAAAAGAGAACGAAGCCACAAAATATGTTTTATTCGAAGCGGATGAATTTAGCGATCGTTAAGTATTTGCAAGTAAACATCTTGGATTTTTCTAATAGTTTACTTAACTTGATCGTAGACTCCCAAATCGTTGAATGTACTATTTACATTACGAAATCTTTATATACATACATATGTACATTAGGTCCAACTTTTGTATAGGAAAAAAGTCATCCTAGAAACGCGGCCTTTCGAAACTTGCAAAAATATTGGTGATTTTTATAAAAAGTTGCTGTTGCCATGATCCCATACTGACTACTTTTAGATTGCTTGACCGACCTGAATCCAACGAGTACAACCGAACAATAGCCGTTCATTGAAATGTTCGAGAGAAGGATTCTGCGGATGATTTAAGGGCATTTGCACCAAGGGAAACCAAGTCCTTCTCCACTTGTTCTTTCCATCGCAGTGGTGCCCCCCCCCCTTCCTCTGCTACCACGAGCGGATTCCGAGTTGAATACTTTCAGAGCTAGAACTTCCCGGCCACAGGGCCGGTAGCGGTGGTACTAGGATACCCCCTCAGATAAATACAAACAGAAATTCACTTGCACTTTCTGAAACTAACAAGAAGGAGGTGGTCAGAGATTCAGACTTGTGCGATAACAGGTAAGCTTTGGCCTTATGAGCTAATAATTAGGTCAAGTGTAGAAGTATGTATTTAGGCTTATACCGAGATATCGCTGGTATCTGCCCGTTAGTAAAACATGCTTATTAGAATAGAACTTCTGCACAGCGAAATGTTCTGCAGCTGGCGCTACAGGGCCCAGGTCTGACTTCCTTAAGGCACACAACTTTCGAGAAACACATAACGAAATTCAGAAATTCATAAGCGATTCAAAGTGGTTTATTAAAACTTCGACAGTCCGGCTTCGGTAGAATAAAATTTCCCACGAGAAATGTCGCAAAATGGCGCTTTTATGCGCCAATTTTATCTTGAGTGGCAACTTGGGATGCACTACCGCCCATCAACCCGCTTAGGGCCGACGGAATGCAGCACGGACAGTAGTTTCCTAATAAATAGAAGCCTGCTTA